AATAATACACTCAAAATGACCCTAAAAGTGAGTCTATTGGTTCTATGTCTGAGACAGGATCTCATTAGGTTGCCTGGTTTCAAGTGATGCTGTTCGAGGTTCAGCCTCTCCAGTAGCTAGGACCACAAGCATGTACCACTGCATCCAGCTTCTGTCTTTTCTTAGAGCAGACAAGAAGAAGGAAAATTTCTAAGATTCTCACAAGCAAAATATCATTTATCCAAGTCAGTAACACTCATGCTCCTTACTGAAGAAGGGGAAGGAGAGAGAAAGCCAAATACACGATAGAATACAGAATGGACTTTAGGGCCAAACTAACCCAAATGAGTTATGGCACAAAAGGGCTGGCGGAAGGAAGGCCTAGACAGGGTCCAAGAAAGACACGGGAACTGGATGTGCAGTGGTTGCTGAGAGGCCATTTATAATTGAGGCCTGCAGAAAAGCCCCTAGTAGGCCTTAAAATAATTGTTAGTTCAAGGTAATCTCTAGAATAATCTTTACAACAGACATTCATATTGATTGTGTCATTAAAATATTTAATATGTTTAGGAATTCAAAAGATATATAATCAACCTTAGATTTTATTCAAAAATAACTGTATTAAATATATTTATCACTTTAAAAGATACACAATACTTCAGAGGTGGTGATATAGCTTAGTGGTAGATTACTTGCCTAGAATGCACAAGTCCCTTGGGAAAAAAAAGGGGGAAAAAAAGGATACACAATACTTAGCTAGAAAATTAACAGCAATATTTTATAACCTTACAATGTCACATAAATGATGCACTTTCTAGCATTATCAACCATATTACTGTTAATATTTGCTAATTTTATAAAGGAACCAAACACTAAATTATAGAAAAGGAGCCTTTTTAAGGAACCCATTTTAGGGAAACTATTTTATGGACAGCAAAAATGCTCTTGATATAACTCTCTATAAATATGATGTGCCAGTCCCAAAGGGCAGATCAGTTTCTGTCCAGTTGAACAGAAGAAAGCATAGTAAGACAAACCCTTTATAAGGGTTTAAATCTCCCTACACAAACCTGAAACCAGTACTGTCACAAAGGTGTTCTGGAAGAACATCTAACAGATATCGCCATTTTCAAAGATAAGAACAAATCTAAGAGTGTCTTCATTCCATTTTCTGGCTCCAAGTTCAACCTGTAGCCCCCAGGAACTGGTCAAGAAGAATTTGTACTGGAATGAAGAAAACAGGAAGGACTATGTGATTTTTTTCCCTATGCTATTACATCAAAAGTGTATCGCCTTCAAATTATAGGAGTTATAGAAAATACCCCCACATACAGTACTATTAAACATAGAAAACTTCCACAGCAAGCAGTAGTACCAAGAGTCCAAAAAGAAGACTCTCCAAGGTAAGACTGAGGGACAACAAGAAACTTTACTTATTTGGTGGAGGAAACGGAAAATAGAAATTTCCCTGCACCTACATTGTTGTCAATTACATTAAAGGCCTAATATTAACTGAATTACAGATCAATCATTTGGAAAATTTAGTTAGCATTATACTGAGGATTTCATATTTACACATAAACTATTTAAAGTTTTTTTAAAAAAACAAAAACTGTCAAGTAACTCATTAAATGTTAGTTTTTCATGATATGAAATGTCACTCTTAAAAACCTGCAACTATTAACAATAGGTCAAAAGTAAAAGCTAATTTTATCTAAGTAGATTACAAAATTCAAAAAGAAGGGGAGAAATATCTTCTAAAAGAGCTAAAAGTCGTGTGTGTGTGTGTGTGTGTGTGTGTGTGTGTGTGTGTTTGGTTTTTTGGAAACAAGGTCTCACAATATAGTTCAGGTTGGCCTTGAACTCACAATGTAGTCCAGGCTGGCCTCAAACTCGCAGTGATCCTCCTGCCTCACCCTCCTAAGTCCTGGGGTTACAGGGTGCGTGCCACCACACTCAGCCATACACACACACACACACACACACACACACACATACATCTCATATGCTTCTTCATGAAGAATGAACCAGATTAGGTAAGCAAGCAACCCATTCTAACCAATTATTCAAAACAATCTTCAAAGTGGAGATACTCCCATTCTCATCTTAATGGGAGAATTCTTTCAGTTGCTGCCTTTTTTTTTTTTTTTTGGTACCGGGGATCAAACTCGGGACCTTGCGCTTGGAAGGCAGGCGCCAGAACCACTGAGCTGAATCCCCGGCCCTCAGTTGCTGCTTTGATAGCTGAGAGTTAGAAGCAATCTTTAAGTGTGTCTTTTCTTACATAGTTCCAACATATGAGCCGATGCAGTATACTTTACATCAATAGACAGACAATCTTTACACAAAGTAAAGCAAAGAGACATATACAGAAACCAAATTAAGAACGTCACTAAAGAACACTTGAAAGTAAAATATTCAATTTTAAAAGCAAAATAAAATTTGAGTCTCTATGTTTCAAAGTTTTTTATCTGTTTCATAAGCAAGTAGGTCACCTTCCATATTTGGCAAGTCTTTATTTGAACCAACTAAGTTTGTTTTATTAATCTAGACATCCCTTAAATTTTCTATCATTTTATATGAAATCTGAATGCACATAATTCTTTAAATTCATGGTAATTAACTTATAAGACTGAACAAGACTGCTTGCATATATTCTAATATTTATAAAATGTAGTTTCTGGTAGTAGAATATATTAAAAGATAAATTAAGACACAAAAATGTAGATTTAAGACAGGCTGTTCTACAAAGAAATGCAACTATTGTGAAAATTAATGCCTCCAGAAGTTCAAAGTAGAAAACGTAAAGTACACAATGAAAGCACTTAGCCAAAAATGCTCAAACGGAACGCAACGAAGAGAAAATGTGTCAGCTAGGTCCAAACCCACTTTAACCCGAAGTATAAAAGTGATACCTTTATCTTCAGCCATTCTGATATCTTCAATCCATGAATAATGCATACATTAAACAGAAAAAAATCTCAAAATGCTCAAGGCAGGTATAGGGTACAATGTATGCCCTTCCCTCCCAGAGCTTCGACTGGCCAACTCTGCCCGGCCAAGGGCCACAGAACTGAAATCAGACCTGACTGCACACTCTGCTCACCAGTTATTTTTAGAGGCCTCTTCCTCATGGCCGAATGCTTCTAATCACTCAGGCTGAAATGCACTCTTGACAAATCTGACAGCCTTCCTCCACTCAGGGGATGGATTCCCTTCTCCGTCGGTCCTATCTCCTTCTTACTTCAACTCCTAAAAAGTCAAGTGTGGGAAAAGTGAAAGAGAACAAACTGTGCTACCATTTTTTTCCCCATAGAAGCAGATTTTAATGGTTCAGTCTAAGCACCAAATCGTTCAAAACTGAAATAAGTCCTAATGCGACCCTAAGCCCAGAAACAGCCTGACTTGGCCCTTTAGCATCTTAATCAAATGCCTACAAGACCATTAGTTTGAATGAACAGAACCCTAAATGACAAGAAATTAATTAATGCTCTAGAAATATGATTCATTGCCTTAACAGCCCAAGAGTAGTTTTTGCAATGGCAAAAAGAATGCAACAGCACAAAAGTGTTTCCCTGGAGAAGGGTGGGGGGTGATGGCAGAAAACAACGGGAGGGGAAAGAGTAATGGGAAAGCTGGGATAAAGGGAGAGAGAGAAGCCAGAAATCTTGAACAGTCAGAGGAGTGACCCAGGAAACACCATCTCCTAAAGGAACTAGAGATTGTACAACCACATTCTGACTTGTTTCCTTTTTCCCCCCAACCACGTGTCCAAATATTGTCCTACGGGAAATAAACTCAGCCCAATTTTAATACTGTTTTTTTCTCTGATCTAAGATTAGCAGTTCACAGAATTCATTAGAGCTCTGATTCATGTATTAAAATAATTTAGTGCAAGTAGTATTTAGAACAAGGCAGCAACCTTTCAGAGTTGTTTATACAAAACTGACCAGTGTCTTGTCTGACAGAGCCCCACTTCTTCAACTCCTTTCTTCCAGGACCTGTCCCATTAAAGTTAATACTCGGTATACTGTTACAGTGATAAGGAGCTGCTTGCAGACTGGTTTAAGATAAGGCACCCTTGCACTACTGTACAATAACAGGAAGATAGCTTTTGTTATACTATTTTTGGAAAGAGAGTGAGAGTGATAAGGGACCTTGGTGAGACCACTCGCATGACCAGGTGCCTGGTACAGCTTCAGATTTGGAGACCTGGATTTCTTTCCAGCTTCTTCATTAACTTCTATTTGGGAGAAGTCATCAAACTTCTGGGTTTCAACTTTCTTGCTTATCAAATATAACATAAACTAGCCATGCATATGCAATGTGATCAAAAAATAAAGTGAATGTTAAATTTTTTTTTTTTAAATTTATTATAGGGGCCAGGGATTTAGCTCAGTGGTTCCAACACCTGCCTTGCAAGCTCAAGGTCCTGAGTTCAATCCCCAACACCAAAAAAGAAAAAAGTATTATAGTAAAAGACACACTGTCTTTAATCCTCCTCAAAATACAACTCCTTGCTTTAAACACATTTATCCTATAACTCTTGCCACTTTCTGAAGCAGTTCTAGAAGTCTTCTTTCATGTCTTCAGTTGTGCTGCTGTGTTGCCTCAATGTCCTGAATCAATTTAAAACATTTACATTTCACGGTTGTTTTGCCTTTGGGGAAGAGCCAGAAGTCACATGGTGTAAGATCCCGTGAATAAGGTAGCTGAGGTCACAGCATCATGTTTTTAAGAGCCTGCTTTCTTTTCACTGGATGGTACTAGGCAGCACCATTTGCTGTGTTTTTGGAGTCAGACATGCTACCACTGCTCTGTGAGGTCCTATTCACTGTATTTTTGAACAAACCCTTTAAAGACATTCAAGAAAGGACTTCCAGAACTGTTTCAGAAAGTGGCAAGAATGATGGGCAAATATGTTCGAAGTAAGAGGAAGTAGCCTGAAGGGGATTCATGGCAATGTGTATTTTACTGTAATACTTAAGCATTCATCGTATATTTTCATCACTACTTGTGTACTTGTTGAAGTCATTCATGTAGCATGTATTTGGGGTTTCCCTCACTCCTGAGGCTTCTTCCGCACAGCTGATTATTCCTCAGGGACAAATCTTAATCACATTCGCACATTTTATAACTAACCCTTTCCTTCTTCTGTCTTTTGCAACAGCTCAACAGTTACACTGAAAAAAATGTCTTTCTTTCTCAGTGTCTCAATGATAGTGGCCTATATATATCTTGGATAGGGTGATCAGGAGAAATCTTTCTGAAAACCTCTAACTTTCATTATTTAAGAAAAATAAATTCTGAACTCCAAGAAACTACTTCTTAGGATAAGAACTCACTTTCGTAATGGGGAATACTTATTAAAAAATTTTTTAAAACAAGTTTAATTTTTGTGTAGGAAGTCATGTTTTGAAAACACCAGCAAAGACAACTAACCTAGCAAAGTCAACTAAAACTAATAGTAATTATTCCTAGTAGTAGTTTCTGGGACTAAAAGCAATTTCTTGGTCCAAAAATAGACCTAACCTGTAACACGTGCTCTGAGACTATTAATATTAGCCCCATGTAACTAGAGACCACAGGAGCCAAGGCCTATGCTAACAGAGTCAAAGGGCTCTACCTCCCTCCAAAAACCTACCAGGCGGAAATCTACCAGCTCTCTCATGCATCAGCACTAAATACATCCTTCTCCTTACCCTCTCCAGTTACTGTTTACAAAAGTGGCTCCAACACATTAAAATCACTAAAGGGTTTATTAAAACAGAGATTGTTGCTCCCCCTTTTCCAGAGTTTCTGATTCTTTAGGTTTAGAGTTAGAAGAAAGAAGTTGTTTGTCTGAATCACAAGTGATCTGATGCTACTGACCTCTAGGAATAAGGAATATTGCATTATTTTTCCTTTTAACTTTCAAAAGTAAGAGAGCTTGAATGTAGAACAGGGATTAAAAGAGGTTGGAAAGGGGGGCGGTGGATAAGGGGAGACTGCACACTGTATATATGTGCTGAAATATCACATCGAACCTGATTAATATGCACAATTAATACATGCAAATAAATAAATGAATAGACTAGCTACACAAGTCCTCCCTAATTCAGTGGACCCAGGAGAGGGGAAGTAGCTCTTGCTTTTATCAATTTCCAGACCATTTCTTCCACCCTAAAAAGGAAAACAATGACACAACAAAGCCCTATTCGAGGGCAACGCCACCCAACTACACCAACCAGCGGCGGCCGCCTCATCACTGCTGTCCATCACCTCCGGGAACCCTTCCACTCACACTCAGTGAAGTCTTCTACACCCCAATTCTGGCCATAGCTCGGTGGTTTCAATCTCCACCCCTGGAGCCATCATGATAGGTTCTCTTTCCTTCACTCCTTCACCCCAGAGCCCTTGTTCTCCATTCTATAACCCACACCCATTCTTAACATTCTTACTATGGATCTTAAACCCAATTTAATTCAACTTTCGAATCACATCTTTATTCTTAGTAAAATATTTTGTTAGTTCTCCCAGAGCAACCTCCTAGACAGATGCTACGACCCTACTAAAATTTGTCTCCATCATAACAACTAGAGCAGATCATGAAATACTGAAAATATTGTTTTTAAAAAACACTTTCAACTACATACAGTACTCAAAATAAACATGAGCAAGGGACATCACTCTAAACCTAGTACCTAGTAGCCAAGATGACTAAAAGGCAACTCTGCAGACACTGAGCAGAATCTATTTAAACTACAGCGCTTAAACATAACCACCCCTACACTAAGACCCACACAGCTACACAGCCAGGGAGAAACACCTCCATATGACCAAGCAATGCCCAGAATGAAAACATTCACTCTAGGATCACAACCTAGTTTTTCATTTTCTTTATTCAGCAATTTCTTCTTGAACCTTGTAGCTCTTCTACTTTTTTCATTTCCCCGCGCGGTGGTTTGAATATGGGCAGTGTCCCCACAGATCTGTGCATTATAGGCCTCTTTCCCAGTGTGGTGTTCTTGGGAGGTGGTGGAACCTTCGGGATGGGAGGGCTTCTGGGAGGTCCTTCGGTCACTGGAGTATGGACCCTCAAAGAGGACTAGGGGATCCCACCAAGTCTCTCAGTTCTCCGAACTCATGAGGTAAGAAAGTGATTTGCTCAGCCACATTCTTCTGCCATTATGGGTTGCCCTCACGAGGGGCTCAAAGGCAAGAGACTGCCCATCTTGGACTGACTGGAACCTCCAGAACCATGAGCCAAAATAAAAACTTTGTCTTTATAAGTTAATTGCCTCAGGTATTTCATTACAGTAATGTAAATCTGATTAACATACTTTTATCACTTGTTGTCACAGCTTTCTAAATCCATCTTAGATAAAATAGTTCACTATTTAATCCCTCTCTTGACTCACTAGCTCCTCTGTCCTTCCATCGCACTGGACTACCACGGCTGACTCCTTGAAGAAACAGTTATTCATCCTCTCCGTGACAGCAAGCGCAGCTGGCCTTACCAATGAAAATCGCAAACAGGACAGCCAACCCCAATGGGGACCAAAGCTTCCTGTCAATCCCACAGCCTTTCTCTAGAACACTCACTTTCCCATCACCCAAAAACACGATTTCAAACTTCCCTGTCCTTAAACCTTTCTACCTTATACTCAACAGCTGCCGTAGTCTCTTCACAGGAACAAACCAACCATTAGCTGGCAACAGTCCCGGCCACCCGGTCGTCAGGGCGCGCCTGCACGCTCCAGCACACGTTCGCTGCTCTCCTCCCAGCCTGCAGCCTCCGGCGCCCCACGCTCCAGCACACGCCAGCTTTCTCTTTCTCTCCCACGCCGCCAGCCACGCTGCCTTCGCTGTGCTCTCCGTGTGGCTAGATCTGCTCTGCCTCTCTCCTTCCCCTCACAGGTGAGGCTCTCAACAGAGCCGCTATTTCACTCCCTTCTAGCCTCTCACTCCTTACAACCTACAGGCTGCCACCTGGCTTCTGCACAGGACTTCCAGACAGCACTCTAACGTCACAGAAGTGATTTCTATGTCCCTAAGCCCAACAGAAAATCTTGTCTTACTTGACCTCTCAGCAGAATCCTC